TGATCGTTACAGTTGTAACAAGCGAATTAGTTATCCATTGTCCACACTGAGCCTATTAAGTGCAGAGGTGTTCACCAGACTGGCCACCAGCAATGAATAGCTTTGGCCATAGAAATTCATGAAACCTTCTTCTTTCATGGAGCAAAGTACTCACACCATTAAAATCATGGTTTTCATGAAGGAAGTGTTATTATTTTACAAAGTGAGGTTCTTCAGGGAGCTGATTGGCATTGATGATACCAGACTATTCTGTTTGGGTCTTTGTGATTAAAAGTTAACCACAATATTCGTGGGGGTACTGAGTTAGCCTGGTTGATGGTGGTACTTCCCCAGCCCCCCTTTTGGGCTGTAGTTTGACATCCCATTTGTAGCATATGATTATATCTCTAGAGCTGGAAGGAGCCTCAGAAGCCAACTCACCCATGCCCCTCATTTTACTGATGATAGTAGATAAAGTGCTAGACTTGGACTCAGGAAGACCTGAATTAAAAATCTGCCTCATACACTTGCTAGGCATGTGGTCCTGAGTATCTTACATTAATTATTTGGATCTCAATTTCCTCATCTGTAAGATGAGTATAATAATAGTACATCTCTCATGCGATTGCTATGAGCATCAAGGGAAATACTATATCTAAAGTACTTAACAAACCTTTAAGTGCTACGTGAATTTTGGCTGTTATCATGAAGAAACTGAGACTCTAGAGAGGTTAGGTGAATTGTATACAGTTTTATGGACAATAAGTATCAGAGTCTTAATTTTAACCCTTGTTTAACCCTCTGACTCCAGAATCAGTGGTCTTTCCACTGTGCCTCCATAATGCTAGACTGTATTGCCTCATCCAAGAGTCCTAGAATCCTATGGAACTAGTGAATGCATCCAAGACCTCATCCCACCCTAGCATTTGACTGATGAGAAAACTGAGTCCCAGAAGTCTGAAATGACTTGCCCAATTCTCACAATTGCCCAATGGCTGAGCCAAGTCAAGAACCCAGGTCTCCTCATTCCTAGGCCATGTGCTTTGGCCCTTAAATAACACTATCTGTGTTAGGACTGGCTATAGCTAGCTTTCTTGGAGCTGAAAGCCAGTCCTTTGCCTATTTTTCAGGGGCTCAGCACAAAAAAAAGGAAAGTTGTAGTCATGTGCTTTACTAACTAGAAAAGCAGGGAAGACAAGTGTGAATGATTGCCAATGACCTTTGTGTCCTGGGGCACAGATAGATTCTCCATAAGACATCCCAAGAATCTAACTAGAATCCTCAACCACTAAACATAAGGTTGATGAGGCCCCCATAAAGAATGCAGCTTCTTGGACAAATGTCTGCTTTTTCTCCTCTCTCTCTCTCTCTCTCTCTCTCTCTCTCTCTCTCTCTCTCTCTCTCTCTCTCTCTCTCTCTCTCTTTCTCCCCCCTTTCTCTGTTTCTTTCTTTCTCTTTTCTCTGTCTCTCTGTCTCTGTCTCTCTCTTTCTCCCTCTTTCCTCTCTCTCTCTCTCGGTACTAACAAAAAATGATTGTGCCATGTGTTTAAGTACTTTATGGTTCTCAAAGCCCTTTCATATGTTTTCCACTTATATTTTATATATTTCTTTTCAGCCTAACCATAATGCTATTGATTGGCTAGGCACGACAGGTACAAAGTGGGGTAATGGAAAGAGGGCTGGAATTGGCAGCAGATTGGAGCTCAAATCCTGGTTCCAAAACTGAGTTTTTGTATGTGACCACGGGCAAATGGACTGTGTGGAGAATGCCTACCTAAGGGGGTTTCTATTGAAGAAAGAACTTTATAAACCTTAAAGCTCAATAGAAATGGTAGAGTTATTGTAGATAAGGAAACCAAAGCTTAGGGCTTAAGTACTGTGGCTCAAAATCACACAGCTGGCATTAGAGGCAGAGCCAAGATTCCAACCTTTAATATTCAGTCTCTAAATCAAGTGCTCTTTCCACTGATTTTCAAGCCCAGTGGAGCAAAGACTAGCTAGGAACTGGTCAAGACCAGAGGTAGGTGAATATTATTTAGGGCATAGTTAGGGACATGGACAGGTCATCCAGTGTGTCATTGCTCAGTTACCACCAGAATGGCCAGCAAGTTGTATAATGGTGACCCGTGATATTCCCACACCTGCCTGTTTCTTTCCACAGTCCTTAACTAAGAGACTGTGTCTTACTCCATCTGTCCTTCACACGTGGTTTTAGATGCTCCTAATCTCTGCCAGCTACTTATACGAGCTGTGATAGACTCAACCTTTGGGGAAAGGCTGCCATGATCTCAGTCAATACTTTCTCAGTGCTTGGAATTAATCATTCTGTTGGCAGTTCCCTGCCTGTTTTCCTTCCTGCATCATTATAACATTTGTATTACATCACCTATGCTACATCAGTGATGTGTGATTCTAGGTAGTTCATGACAAAAGACAGGATCTCACCACTCTCCTAAGAGGCTTGGCATGAACTGAATTGTGTGCACTTTCATTAAAAGTGGAACTTGGGAAACAGGATAGAAGAGCTATCCTGAGTTTTGTTTTGATGTACATTTATTGTCAGTCCCCTCTTATAGCCAATAAGAAAGAACTCAGTTGTCTAGGTTAATGAATCTAACTATCAACTTGGAGCAGGTTAGAACTGAAACTAGGGAAGAATGACTGAGGCTGCCCTTGGACACACACATGAGGAAGACAGCTTCTCTTGGTGTTTGTCTTATGGTCTTTGTCCTAGCCCAGACTGCTACTACTAGGGTCCAGTCATCATGGTTCCCCTTTCCTAGAGCCCCTCTTCCTTGCTGGGCCCCATGGGTGATGGGTTACTTCCTCTCCTGATTTAAGTACACATCCTCTGTGTTGCCACCCTTTCCCCTCACATTGGATTATTTTCTATGCTGTCATCCTCCTCCAACTGTTTTTCTCAGGTGAAAGTATTTCTACTTATTGCTCTGCCACAGATTCCATTCAAGGCTCTGTGTAATTAAGAGCTAGAGACACAGGAAGATGTCACATAATCTGTAGAGGCTAGGTCAGTAATTTCTCCCTACCAAATGGTTTGTGATGTGGCCAGGGCATGTCACCGATCTTCTCCACCTCTCAGCTCTCAAACCCATCAAATGGGAGAATATTTACCTATCTCAAGGCGGTCCTGTTTTTATTAACTTATTCATAATAACAAAACTTACAAAGAATAAAAGCACTACTGTATATTGTTCCTGGGATGATTCTTGCTGGCACCAGAAGAGAAAACCTTGGTTTATACCTGATTCCAGAAGGCCCTCCACAATCTGATCCCAATTTTCCTTTCCAACCTTATCTTCTTTTCCTTCCTCCTTGAACCTTTACTTAAGTACGCCATCCACAATGTCCCATCTTTATTCTTAACCACACTTATGACTTGTCAGAATCAAAACTTTTTTGAATACCTCTTAATTGCAAAGCAGTCAGTCTTTTCATGTATATGTTTTATTTCCTTACCTAGATAAAAAGCACCTTTAAGGTAGAGACTAGACTAGACCTTATTCATCTTTGTATCTCCTGTAATGCCTTGTCCACAATAATCATTCAACTAGTGTTGGCCAGTTGCTCAATTGTACTTGATCCCTAGGTCATCTCTGCCAAAAGGTTCTCTGAAATCTGTTGGTAAAAATCCATTCTTTCTATCATTCAACAAGTTCCCAGTATTGCCAAGAACTGGAGATACAAAAGACAAAAGTGAAACAAGTCTTACCTTCAAATCTCACATTCCTTTGGAGGAAAACAATGTGTAATAAGTAAACACAGAATAAATACAAGGTAATTTCAGTGGAGGAGGACACTAATTTAGGAGACAGTGTTTAGGTGGAGCCTTGGAGGAAACTAGGGATTGCAAGGATTTCAAAAGAAAGTGAATTCAAGGGATAGATAATATATGTAAAGGAATGGAAGCAGAGGTGGGATGTCTTACATAAGAAACGTACTAACATGTAGCCCAGATGGGGAGTAATGCTTACTACATGTGGGACCAGATTGCCAAAACCTTTAAATGCCAAAAAGAAGTATATGTATTTTATTATAGAAGAAATAGAATAAATTCCTGAGAACCCGAGTTCACTACAGATCCAGACAATTAGCCTTTGAGGTAGATCCTCGTTTATTCTCCAATGCCCTTCCCCCAATCTCAAAAAAGAGCCCCATTTATTTTAGGGTGATTATTCCTTCTAAGCTACATTTCCCTCTCTTGCTTTCCTGCCCTGTTGGATTCCCACTGTATAAGAAACGTTTTCTTTTACATAAATAAGAACATAAATTTAGAGCTAGATAGGCCTTAGAGATTATCTAGCATAATTCCCTCATTTTACAGATGAGGACATTTAGGCCCAGGAAATTATTATGATTTGCCCAATGTTACTTGTCTGTAACAAAGCAAAGATTTGAAGTCAACCAGTTAATCAGCAAGCCTTTATTAAGCATTTGCTGTATGCCAGGCACTATGTGAGGGGCTGGTCTGCAGGCTCCAAGTACACTACTTTCCATTGTGGCCTACTACCCCTTAATACTTCTGGTACAGCCGGTATATTAAAACTCGCCTTCAGAAATAATGGTTATATGAACTAGTCCTAGAAAAAAGAGTTATTGTGTTCAATAGTTCTCAATATGGAATGTGTGTTCACTTAGTCTGAAATATGTTTTTAATCCTTGTATTGTATATGCTTTATAAAATATTGTAACAGAAGAATTTGATTTCTTTTGGGGCCTGAATCCCTTTCAACAAGATTCAATGAGTCTGACTCTGAACAATAGAATCACTTGAATAAGTTTCTACATTTTAAGAGGCATTTAACATTTAAACAGCTGATACCTTTTGACATCTGGATCAATTTAAAAATAAAAGGACTCTATTTTGGGGGGAAAGGGAGTTGATAAATTCTTCATCTTAATGCCAACAGATTTTTTATTCTATTTTTAATTTTCAGAATTATTCTTGATTGTAGCATTTCATGTAATTTAGTTTTGTCTCTTGTCTTTTTTCCCCCTTTCAGAATTCTCAGGGGTTGTGATATCACACCACACATTTTACTGTGGCAAAAATGGACTATTTTCAACAGTGGAAAGTACCATGTTGACAAAGTATAATTCTTGACTGCCACATGCCTCCAGAAGACGTTGAAGTCTGTTAAAAGTAAGTCAAATGGATAAATTGTAGATGATTTGTGAGTAAAGTAAGCACCTTTTTATGGGGAACTCATCTTAGAAACTGTAATTAGACAACAACAACTATTATTGGTGCTATGACCAAATTCTCGTGAAAAACAATTCCAAAGTAGATAATAAAATGTTATACACTGAAACACATAGGGAATGTTTTTGAAACATTCCCATTGTATTGGAATTAAACTATCATAATCAGTCAATATACAATTTATTTTCTGTTGGATCATAATTGACTAAGGAATCTTCTGAGATGTGGATTTTTCTGTTGTTATAACAATTTATTTTTGAAATAAATATTGAGACTTGGCACCCTAAAAATTTGTTGTGCATTCTCTACCTCTGGGCCAGTTTCCCATTAATCTCAATTTAATGTTAACTTCATCAGTTAGCCCAGTGATGAAAAAAAAATTAGATAGAATTCTAAACTTAATATTCTGGATTTAAATCTACTTTAATCCATTGAGTTTATAGAATCAAACTTAATTTCATAGCTAAATGACTTCAGTGGATACATTATACCCAACAATTAGTCATCTAGACTTTGACTGAAGACTTCCAGTGAGAGAGAACAAATCATTTCCCGAATTAGCCCTTTCTACTTTGGATTATTAGGAAATTTCCTTTATGTTGAGCCTAATTTTGCATTTCTGCAACTTCTACTTATTATACCTCATTCTGCACTGTTGGGCCAGGCAAAACAAGTCCCATCCTTTTTCCCTTCAAAAACTGTCTTCAAACTTCATTATTTAGTGCAGATGTAAAACTGAATCCTTGCATGAAAGGGAATTGGCCATGCTCTATTCTCAAAGATCAAGACCCAGAACATGGCACAAAATACCTTGTGTTCAATCTAGTTATCTCGAAGTTTTTGTTTTTAATATTTTGTGATTTGTTCCTCAAATAATACAAACAAATGTACAGTGAAAGATCTCTAACACAAATATAGGGCAACTTTATTAATATTCCAAACATAAATATGGATATTCTACAGGGTCAAATTAACATTAGGTGGAAACTCAGCATATTATAGCAAGCTTTTACAGCATGTTATCTGTGTGTAAAGAACCATGTCTTAACCTGTGGTGCATACAAATCTGTGTAATTGGGTTCACTGCTCTAAAGATGTTCAAGTTACTCCAAAATAACTTGAATAACAAAGATTTATAAACTAATAACATATTTACAAATTACTCTGAAATGTAATGTTTGAAAAGCGTATGATTGTATTCCTAGAAACAAATAAGCAGTAGCATGAGTGGGATGAGGGTTATTATCGGAGTGATGGTAACCAGATGTTCCCCATCTCTGCTGAGGACAGAACAAGACACAGGGGCTTGAAATGAAGGCAGAAAGATGAATGTCAAAAAATGAAGAAGAATGTCATGACTGAAGGTCTCTGAAACTTTGAGATACATTATTGAGGGAGGTCTGGCTTCTTCTTCTTCCCTAGAGATCTCAAGAATAAAATAGATGATCATCTGTACTATATAACTTAGAGCTGGGAGAAAGAGGGTGAATGAAATGACCTCTTGAGGTTCTTTGATTCCTATAATTCTTTGAATTCTGTGTAAACAATTTAGGCTTAATAAGATCAGCAAATCTGAGTTTCAAAAACTAAATGTTCAATACAGGCAGGGGTAAGACTTTGGTTCCCATTTGTGGTGAACCTATTATTTATTCATTCTCTCAAGTGTTAAGTAACTGTTTTTGGTCACATTTCAGTTGCCTTTGCATTTTGTGGATGTAGCTTAAAAAAGAGAATTTTAAATTTGCAGTTACTTCAAGGGACATTTATTGAGTGATGTCATGTGCTAGGCACTGTACACCTCAATCTTTGTCGTAAAGGAGCCTGTAATAGGGTAATAGTTGAGGCTTGTCTACAATCAAATGCAGTACAAAAAGAGCCAGAACAGTTCAGTCAGTGCATTGAACACTGGATTTGGAGTCAGAAAACATGGAATCAAGTCTTGTCTTGAGCATTTAATGGCTTGTGACCATGAGCAAGTTGTTTTTACCTTGCGTGAGCCTCAGTTTCCTCATCCATAAAATGGGGATGGTAATATTTGTACCACAAGGTAGACTGTGGGATAGACACATGGTTGAAAGTGCTACATAAATATAGATCTGTTATCTATACTCTTGAAGTAGAGTATGGATGTGAATTAGAGAGGTACAAGGTACTAGGAGAATTTTGAGGTCAAAGGCATGATATCTGGTTTGGAGGGATCAGTTACCATAAAGTAATGGCATTTAAGCAGGACCTTGAAGGGTAAGTTGAATTTCAACTAGTTAGAATGTTGGATGAAGGCAACTTTGGGGACAGAGAATGCCATGAACATGGGTATGGAGGCCAAAAAATTCAAATATGTTCAGTGAGAGAATGTACTGAAGCATGGAGACAGTTGCATTAAATAGGTCTGGCCAAGTAAGCTGGGGCTGGAATGTGAGAATGCCTTAAATACCAAGTCAAGGACTTAGGAGAAGTTTTTGACCTGGAAAGTGACTCGATCACAGCTACATATTGAGAAGATGAATCCTAACATGACATATAGGAAGGATTCAGATGTGTTTGTCATTGTGGCAGCTTAGTTTTTGAAGTGTTCATTTTCTGACTTTTAATTTGAAGAATTCTGTTTGGTCTTCAGTGAAGGGATTGCTCTAGGTACAATGAAAAGAGTACTGGAATCAGGACCAGGATTAACCTACCAAATTTGTCACATTTTAGTCTGTATAACTTTGGGCTGGTCATGTAAGCTCTCTGGGCCTCAGTTTCTTCATTTTTTAAAAATAAATGGAAGTCAGACCGGATGATCTTTAAGGTCCAGTCCAACTCTAAATCTGTGGCTATGACTCTGACTATGACTGAATGAGTTAATGACAAGAAAGGAACAGGACTATATGTCCTCTTCTCTTTGGAGTTAATGCCTAACACAGTAACTTGCATATTTGGTCCAGACCTATGATTTCCCCAGTGTAGAAAGCTCCCGTATGAATGCAGATCAGCTGTTATTCCTCAATTTACCGTATTAGTGAATGCCTGGGGCAACTGAGAGATTAAGTGCCTTCCCCAGGGTGAGAAGGCTAGTATCTATCAAAGGAAGAACTTGAACTCTACTCTTGGATAGAGTGCTCTGCCTGGAATTAGGAAGGATCATATTACTGAGTTCAAATATGACCTCAGACACTTATTAGCTGTGTGACCCTGGACAAGTCACTTAACCTTGTTTGCCTCAGTTTCCTTATTTGTAAAATGAGCAAAGGGGGAAAATGGTGTACTACTCCAGTATCTTTGCCAAGAAAACCTCAAATAGGGTCAGAAAGAGTGAGAACTAAAAATGATGGCAACTACTAAACTAAACTCTTTCTAATGCCTTGCTTATGCTAGGTATAACTTCATAATGCCTATTGAATTGGGCCTGTATCCCCAGTGCCTACCACAGTGGATGCTCAATTGGTATTTGTTGAGTATCAGTTCATTTCCTTTATCTAGATGGATGTTGAAGGCCAAAGCAGAACTGACTAACTTTTGCTTCAGTTGTTTAGATAAGTAAAATAACTGAATTGAATATCCTTTGGTCTGATTGTTTGAATAGGATAGGATTAGGCTAAATTTCCTTAATTCAGTGGCATGTCTTCTTGTCTACATTCACCTTATTTATAATAGTAATCCAGGTCTTTTGATTGATGATCTTTGGATTCTTCTCTATTAAATCCTATTTCCTGTCATTTTCTTTGGTCAATATTGCCATTGCAGTGAATTCCTTCTTGAGTAAATTTTGAATGATAATTAAGTGAGAGAATAGGTCAAGTTGATGCATGTTTTAAGTTGTAAACATTACTTGTGTTGCAGGAGATTGGGTCTTCAAAAAAATGGCTTAGAGGACAGATTTTTTTTTTTAACAAAAATAGCTTAGGAGTATTTTTTCTTAAAACCTAGCTTTATTACAACTCTCAAAGGCAGTATATAAAAAGAATGATTTTATATCACAGATGTTATATGTAGTTTTTTGTATATAAAAGCAGTATGTTTCCCTCTAATGTTCATGGAATAAATATTTGGTACTACAATACTTGGGGGAGCTGTATACTTCCTATGTCAAACTTTGTGAAATGTCATGATGGATGAAATTTATTCTATTCCTTTCTTGGGGAATTATGGGACACTCATACTCAGGCATAGTATGTTTCCTTACTTTACTAAAGTCAATTGGAGGTGATAAATGGAAACTAATGTAATTTGGAAATGAAAGAATATGCTATTTGGCAAAGATAAGTATGTACAAGCTGTCCTCCTAGATACGTTTGCTATCTTATTACATCTTCCTGCATTATAGTTACTCTATCTCAGAGACCCTATGATGAGGATGGGGATCTTTAGTAAATCACCTAAAGCTAAACTATTTAGGCATATTGTTCTTTATATAAAATATGGAAATGGAAAAACAATATGACAAGTTTTAATGTCAGGCCAAGGAAAGATTAAAAAAAAAACACATGGAAGTAGATCAGTCTGTTATTTCCTTTCCAGTTTTCTTTGAAATTATTTTTGAAACCAAAAGTATTCTAATTCCTCCTTGAGGAAGACTTTGACTCTTTGGAGAAAGTACTAACCCTTTTGATCTATCCAGTTTGGCAAAAAGAAAAATGGCATCTTTTTAAAAAAAATCATTAAATGACTATATAAGGTTAATCTTTATTGTCTCTGCCAATTTAAAGTTTTTCTTTCTGAGATTTTCTTGAAAATAAATTCACTATCTGATCAAAATACAAAACTTACTATAAATAGGACATAATACATAACTGAAGGTTTCACTACTACTAATATCTTAAGTAAAACCAGGTCTGACCGAACTTAGCATTTCCAAATTGGATTGTATTCATTTGACTTGGGGCTCAAAGTAAGAAGGGGAACAATAAAGTAACAGATATTTCTTGAACCCTTCTTATGTTCAAAGATTAAGAATTCAA